AAAAAAAAAAAAAAAAAACATTTTAATAAGACTCAATCTGTTTAAAATAAAAATTTTGTTTGTTCAATTTTTAACAATATTATAGTATCAAAGATAAGCAAAAAAAATTTTCCCACTTCCATAGCAAACAATTCTGTGACTGCAAATTATTTGTTGAAAAGTATTGTGGTAAAAGAAAGAAATTGTTCTTAGTGTTTTGCAAATAAATGTTGAAATCAAAACAGATGTGAAAAATATGAACCATTAACAAATAACAGATTAACGATTCAATTTATTTGTAAATATTTGAAACTTTTTTTTTTTTTTGATATTTTAATTACAGTTTAAAATAATCAATCTACAAATATAGAAAAAAAAAAAAGAAGACCAATTTATTTCAACTGATAATCATTTATATTTGAAATTTCACTCCCACAGACAACTCTCCCAATCATTTGTCGTCGTTGCTGTTATCGCGTACAGCGTGAAAGTAAAAAAATCCCTAAATTTTAGGTTAGATAACTGTCTGTCTAAAGCTATTCAACTGATATACCAATTTGCTAATTAAGTCAACGAAACTTATCTGTTTTGGAGCAAAAAATTTAAAGGCTTAAAATCAAATTTTTTTTTTTTTTTTTAAAGTGAAACGTAAAAATAATATAAGCAGCAGACTGTATAATGTTCAAATAACAGCCCTCTTCCTTTTTTTTTCTTGTTTTTTAAAGGTGCAAATATTACTATATTATAGATGGATGTTTGTTTAAATTGTTGATGTTTTAAAAAAAAACCCTTCCCTTTTCTATCGCCTATCTTAAATGTATTTCAACAGAACAGCAGCAACAGTCTAAAATTTTGTTAACGTTCAAAACTTAATTGTGATTCTACTGAAAAAAATTTCCTAAAATATAGACAACATAAACTTTAAATTTTTTTTACAAATACATATTGAAAATTTTTTAGCATTTGATTCTCCTCCCCGTAATTTGATGTTCAACTGAAGTTGCAAAATTTATTGTTCATTATTTGTCTAAATTATTTGATGTTTAAGAAGATTTGCAACGCTAAAACGAATGAAACTTTGATGTGTAAAAATTGTTGCACCAACTGTGATGACATTCTGTATTTTGCACAAAAAAAACTCGGTTGGCTATAAAAATTGTCGTCAACAAAAAAAGTTCAAAAACCGAAGAAAAAGAGAAACAAAAGAAACTTTCTTGAACACTTTCAATTAAGCCAACAACAGTTATAGTTGATATCAAATGTATCAACTAAACGTGTCTATTTATTAAGCGTAAACTGTGTAAGCTGCTTCCACCTATCTTCATATTTTTTTAGACAGTATAAATACCAACAAATGATTAAAGAAAAAGAAAGAAGAAGAAAAACGAATGTTTTGAGTTGCTGTAATATTGACAACCAATTTTTTTTTGACAACTGTGCTTTAGAATGATTCCACGTAATGATTTTGAAAATTCAAATGAACAAGGTACATCAACGACGACGACAACAACAGCAACAGATATCACTGTAATGACTTCTGAACAAATGACGTCTTCTGATGTACAAAGAGTTGAAGGTAGTGTTTCCAACTTAATGTATTATGTCCTAATATTACTGGAAACAAAAAAAAAGAAGCTTTTCTTCTGAATTCACAAGTATTGACAATAACCTAAAATAATCATTATAATCATTAGGCTTTTCAAATAAAAAAAACAAAGACTGAAATAAATATAATTTGAATCGTAGTCCCTCAGTGGACATCATACTGTCATTTTAAGAGAAATATTTGTCAAATAACTAACGGTTTAATCATCTTCGAAATTTGCAAATCTTTAACTAAGTAAAACATAAACAGCTAAAAAAACGGCTTTTATTTTAACAAGTTTTTTTCCCTCATTTTCAAATCTTTATTTCTAAAACAATAGCCGATGGTCAACAACTTCTGTCGTCACCTTTTTTTTCTTTTTACTTAACTATAGTGTGTCAAATTTTGTTGTATTGCAGCGATAAGTAACATGGAGACGACAACTGGCGACAATGACACTGCTGAGATGTAAACCTTTAAAAACCATTATCTATTTTGTTCCCCCTTTTATAGGGAAATGTCTGAAATTGCAGAAAAAAAAAGTTTAAATAGAAGATTATACTCAATAAATATCCGTAAAAGCTTCCACTGATCAAAAACATCTTCCAGAAGACCAGGTCGTAAACGGAAAGGTCCTCGTGAGGGTATTGTACCGTTAACCCTACTAAGCCAAGACAGTGATCAAACAACTGACGAAAGTCTATCCACGGAAACCTCTCTTGTTCCAGATTCGGATGACAACGACAATGATACACCGTAAATCATTCAGTTCACTAATTTTTACCCTTTTAAACTATAATTTAGCGACTAAAACGCCCATCAAAGTTTATGGGTTTATGTTAAAGAAACTGAAAGCTATCCATCAGTCAGCAATTCACTGACAAAGTCGAACAGTAAAATACTATTAGCCCAAAAATTGTTAGTCGGATAATTATTGTTCTTCTACTCAGTCCCTGTATTGCAGTATAACAAATAAAAATGATTATGCTCAACAAGGAGCACCTACAACGAGTAAGAGTCCAGCGATTAAGCTCAGAGAATCAAGACGAAAACAACATGGTAAGTTATAATAATTATTGGATATTACTAGTAAATCTTCCTCTGTTACCACTAAACTTTTTCCGGCTTCTAACAACTTTACTTTCTTTTTTTTCGTTCTCTCCTCTATCATAAACCCTTAGAAAATG